AGCCCGTGCCGGCTGTGCCGCGGGTGCTGGGCGGACGCGGCGCTGTGCCGGCTCTGCGGGGCTGGGGTGCACGTGGTTTAGGCAGAGAGCTGGGGCCACGACTGCCCCTCGCAGGCCATCGCTTTCTTTTTATATATTTCTCTATATAAATAATTAGGTGGATATACATCCACCGGCATAAACTTTCCATCACACATCCTTTAACCACCCGAAGAAACGGCACTCACGTTACAAAAGACGCAGCCATCCCGCCGCGCCCGCACGCGCCACCCCTTCCCTGACCCCATCTCAGTCTCGTAGTCCTAGTCCCAGTTGGGGTTCACATTCCCAGTCCTCATCGCGTGGCTTTCCCTGCTGCCGATCCCGCCGCTGTCCTCCTCGCTGCCTCCAGGGCTGGGTCTGCATTCCCCCTGCCCCCTCCCCTCCCCTCCCTCGCACACCCTGTCCCTTTTCCAAGTGCAGTTGCCTGCATCTTCTCCGTCCTCTCCCACCGCTTTCCAGTCCTGGGACTGGCGTTCGCTCAGAAACATTGTAACAAGGCCTGTTTCCCCCGAGCTCCCTGTGCCTGTACACCAGGAGGGTCCTGCATTGCCACCGGACGCTCCTCACGCAGGACCCAGACTGGTCCAAGTGAGTTGTCGGGGAGCCCTGACATTTGGTCGAGTGTCCGTACAGCACCACCTCCCTTGTCATCAGCCTGACTCCTGTCACTTCCTCCAGGAGCCTGCTTACCTTTCCCACACTCCCTTGGCATAAAGGCAGAGCCTTAGGAGGTGGTCGATGGTCTGTGTTTCATTTTGTCAAGTGTCCCTGGGACAATTGGGTTGAATCTCTCATCCCTCCCTGGGCCTCTGCGCCCTCACTGGGAGTGCGCAGTAAATCATAAATACATCAGAATAACAGGGCACTTTGCACAGGAATGCAAGCTCCTGATTGGGACCATTCAAGGCAACAATATGGTAAATCCCATCTCCAGCTTCAAGTACTGGACACACCTGGTGTCTAACAACCCCAGATCTATTATGACTAGGTTTCCCATTCAAAGTAATCGCCTCCCCCTTGTTACCACAGTCCTCACCAATCTAGGCACCTAGGCTGGGTAACAAATGTTTTGGGATCTCCCCTGCTGTAACAGTGACCTCTAGAGTGCCCCACAACTCATGGTCTGAGGTGCTTGATTCAAGTAACTGCCGTTACTAAAATGGTAAGCCTTGGGTTTAAGGAGTGAATCTCAAGTAACCAAGCCCTCTTCTAGTGAAGTAAATAATAACCCTCCCAGTAATCAAATGCTTTATTGCTGGTGAAAACAAACATGCACAACCAGGGATGGATCTGAAAGGTTTAACATCTACAATGCAATCAAAGAACATGGCTCTCTACCTATTGGCTTGCCAGTCCATCAAGAAAAAGGAGTATAAGAGAAGAGCACAGCTGCCAGCACAGCTCACTCATCCCAGCTGATGATATTTGGTGATAGATCCAGGCCTGATAAAACCTGCAAGGATCAGAACTGCTTCCTTGTCCGTCACTGATGAGAAAACACTATTAGGGCTAGACTGGACCTGATTGTAGCTCACTTTATTTCCCCACCCCGAAACATGGCAAGCTGCGATGGGCTGCAGAAGTGATCAGACCAGTGCCAGGTTTCCTGGCTGAAAGCTGCTGGCCTCACCATGGCATACCCAAACCCTCTAGGTTTGGACATGCCACACTGAGCCCCCAATTTGTAGGCCTGGTGCTTCAATCCAGCTGTGATGGGCTGCAGACCCCATCAGACCATTGCCAGGGCTGCCTGGCTGAAAGCTGCCTGCCTCACCATGGCATGCCCAAATCCTTTGGTATCTCTTCTCTCCATAATGGATGGGACGGTTGATCAGGAGGCAATTGAGACAGGCCCTGGTGGATGAAGGACCAGTCTGCAAAATGCACGATATTCCTGCATGTCATGAAGGGTTCTTGGTACCCTACTTTGAGGTGACCTATAAGATGGTTGCCCTGCCCAGGCTTCCCATTTAGGTCACTGATATACTCGGTTTGCGCAGCATCTTTCATGAACCTCTCCAGCCAGGTCCCGACCCAGAAGTGAGGGTGATGAGATTGGGGCTGGGAAAATGACCTCTACCCTCCAGGTCCTGCTTTTCCTTTGTGTCCTGTCCCAGCCATCTTAGACACCATTTCCAAGGCTCTATATGGTATAGTGGTATATATATGGTATACTATATATATATAGTGGTATATATGGTATACTGTGGACTCAGGTCCACAGTAATGGAAAGCCTCCAGGATCTTGCCTGACCTCATTCTGCAGCATACCTCAGAGGTGGAAAACATCTTGAGCAAAGGTCAATGGACTTCCTGCCCCACCCTCAGCCCCACCTGGATGCCAGTATGAACAGAGGAGGTTTCTGGCTAAATCAGAGCTTCACCTAATTTTGTTCCATGAGTTGCATCCTTTGAAGAAGGCCAATGCCCATGACCAGGCCCAGGAAAAGCAGTGTCCACCCCACAGGGGAGGTCCTGCTATATGAGACCAAGCAAGGAGAGCCAGCACAGGGGAGATGTAGGCAGAGAACAGGGGGTATGAAGGCCCAAGCGACAAAGGCATTGCAAACCCCAGTTGAGGTGTTTATTAAGATCTCTATGGATGTGCAGCCACCAGGGGCCCAGGGCCAGGCCATACAAGGGAATCGTTGGTTTTGGAAGAGCTGGAGGAAGGGAGGTGCTTGTCCCCAGTGAAACTCTTCCAGCTCTGGGAAGCCTCCAGCCCAGGGGCCTTTGCTGCACAGGAAAAACTTGCTCAAGCACAAACCAGTCCAGCAGCTTCCCACAGGCAGTGCCTGGCAGGGCTGAGGCTCCGAACCTAGTCGCCCTCCCACTCCCAGCCCCAGCAGGGCTCTGGGCAAAGGGCACCCAGAGGCACTTGGCCCCGAGCCCAGTTCTGGGCTGCTGGCACTGCAGGGGGTGGTGGTCCCAAAGCTGGCAGCATCCCCATGGGTCCATTCTGGTGGCTGCGCTTGAGTTCTCCAGGGCCACCAAGTGCCAGGACAGACCGCCCTGGTCTCACCTGCTGCAACAGGACGGGCTCATCAGTGCAGACAGCCCCTTTCACCTGGGCAGCTCCCAGAGGCATAGAGGAGGGGACGGGGTGGGTAGAGGGTCATAGAGAATGGGAAGCCAAAGTGGCCCGTTTCCCCATGGGGGGGTGCACTCCCCGGCTGTTCATCCCCCCTCCATCAAATCACTCAATAGCACAGTCTGAGGTTGGATCCAACCCCCCACACCCAGAACCAGGGCCGGATTTTGTCCCCAGCAAACAAGGCTGGCGGGAAGGTGAAGATCGTGGCCTCAGTGTCAGCATCAAGAAACAACACCAGTCCCGCTGCACAGTCCAGACAGACCCGCACCCTCCTGGGCACCAGGCGCAGGGACAGGGGGGTGCGAGCAGGGGCTGTGAGAGCCCGGAGCTGATTTCGACAGCGCTGCACAGCCCAGATCCCCTCCTCGGGGCTAAATCTGATCCCTCCTTTCCTCCTCACAGACTCTCTGGCGACCCCCACGGCCCAGGCCCTTGCCCCCACCTCCACCTCCCAGCAGCATCTACCCAAGGTGAACCCCTCACGGCCCAGCACACACAGCTCAGAGTCAAATCTCTCAGGACTGTTGGGCAGATACCGCCGTGTGATTGCCCATCTCAAACTCTCCGATCCGTAGACACGACGAGGTCATGATTTGCTGTGTCTGGATCCAGAGTCACCACCACTGGCAGAGAGAATCACAGCGTCAGGGCAGAGCTCACCCTGGGGCAGACGGGGCTGTTCCTCGCCCTCCCTAGCAGCCCCGTCCTGCTTCAGACCATCCTGGGCCCCCGAAGCTGCCTCTGCCCTGGGCCCAGAGACGGCCCTGCAGCTCCTCAGCCTGGCACGAGGGAGAGCCCCTGGCCAGGGGGAAAGCGAGACACTGGCAGCAAATCCATAGGCAAGGACCAGAAAAACCCAGCCCAGTGTCCCAGGACGGGGGGGTTTCGGTGCTGGGCTGGGAAAGGGTTTGACTGTTGTGAGAGGGGCGGCCGTGGCTTCTATGGGATTGCTGTTATTGCCGGGACCCGCTCCCCAGCACTTACCCCTTGTGTATGATCCCTGTGGTCCCCCTTTGCCCTTCTCCAGGTCACACAGCAGAGTCTCTGCAGGGGAAAGGGGCACAGATGTTAGACGTTGGGTGTCTGGTTCATGGGATGGGAAAGGGAGCCATCTCCCTTTCAACTATAAAGGCGGGAGATGGGAGAGCCATCTCCTGCCTGCAGCAGACGGGAGATGGGAGGCGGGAGATGGGAAAGCCATCTCCCGCCTGCAACAAGCCATCTCCCGCCTGCCTGCTCTGCTCCCTTCCTGCTCCTCTCCTGGCCCTTCAGGATCCCTCACCCCCTGCACCTCTGGGGCCAAGCCAGCAGACTCCAAACTGTCAAGTGCTGCCTCAAGCCCACCTCACATTTAATTTCAGCTCTTAACTTTGGTGGCCTGACATGAGGCGTCGAAGCCTGGCAGGGCCCATGTTGAGCAGTGCTGGAGCAGCAGGAGCCCTGCAGCTCTGCATCCAGGACAAAGGGGTCCCTGGAGAAGCCCTGGTTCATCAGTGATTTGCCCAAAGGCAGAGACAGGCCCTTGCCTCATTTCTTCACCCCTGCGACCTGTGATATAAACTGAAAGTGCTAGGTTGTTCTCCCAAGTAAAAAAGATAATGGCTCCAAATATGAACCATCTGTCAACAGGGAAGAGGGAAGTGTCCTTTTCACAGCCCCCATCTCAGTACCTTGAAACTTCTTCAAAGTCTCCTGTAGAGCTACACTTTTTCGGGACAAGATGCTGAGTCTCATATCCAGTTCTGGGCATATCCCCTCTGGTGGTTGGAACTGGTCCTCCTCGCACCTGGGAAAAACTCATCCATGTTATTTGATTTTTCCTTTGGGAACTCGACTGTATGTTAAAAAAACATTGGGTTGATGGAGAGACCTGGAGACTGACTCTGTCCATGTGCATCAGCCGCAGGGGCAGCACAGACAGTGGCAGTGGCAGTGGCAGTGGCAGCTCAACCAGCAGGGATCGATAAGCCTGGCAGAGATGCATCTCCAAGACCCTTCCCTGTATGGGGAATGAGGTGGAGCCACGTACCTTCTCAGCATGCTTCTGATATCCTAAAGGGAGAGACAAAGATGGAAGAGTGAGCTCAGTGCTGCATGGCACACCTGCGTGGCACACCTCCTCCGACGCACTTGTCCTCAGACTCCAAGTGCCACACACAGAAGGATCTGGGGAAAGTTCAGCCCCTTTAAAAGCTCCAATTTCTAGCTGCACTGAGACCCCCGCCCGCCCCAGCTTTGCTCAGGATCCTAGACCTCAGCACGTCCCCAGCAGCAGGGTGGCTGTGTGCTATGGGATGCTGTGCAAGGAGAGAGGTGTAAGCAGTCTCGTGGTGTGTGGGATCGCCGAGTACCTGAGCCCATAGGGGCTTAGATCTGCCACTGGGGCTGCGCCAAAGGGGCCCATGGAGACATTTCATGTGCCTCACCTGCAGGTCACTGGCTGCCTGCTGGCACTTCCCCTCCAGCTCCCTGATCAGGTTGGTGAGATGGGAAATCTCCTCGGAGAGTTGGGTGACAGTCTCCCCCTGACTCTTCTCAATCCTGCTCTCCACCTCTCCCAGCTCGGCCAGCACGAGTCGCTCTTGTTCCTCCAGAAACCGGTGCAGTCGCTCAAACGCAGACACAATCTTCTGGCCCTCCGCCAAGCCAGCAGACTCCAAACTGTCAAGTGCTGCCTCAAGCCCACCTCACATTTAATTTCAGCTCTTAACTTTGGTGGCCTGACATGAGGCGTCGAAGCCTGGCAGGTGCCCATGTTGAGCAGTGCTGGAGCAGCAGGAGCCCTGCAGCTCTGCATCCAGGACAAAGGGGTCCCTGGAGAAGCCCTGGTTCATCAGTGATTTGCCCAAAGGCAGAGACAGGCCCTTGCCTCATTTCTTCACCCCTGCGACCTGTGATATAAACTGAAAGTGCTAGGTTGTTCTCCCAAGTAAAAAAGATAATGGCTCCAAATATGAACCATCTGTCAACAGGGAAGAGGGAAGTGTCCTTTTCACAGCCCCCATCTCAGTACCTTGAAACTTCTTCAAAGTCTCCTGTAGAGCTACACTTTTTCGGGACAAGATGCTGAGTCTCATATCCAGTTCTGGGCATATCCCCTCTGGTGGTTGGAACTGGTCCTCCTCGCACCTGGGAAAAACTCATCCATGTTATTTGATTTTTCCTTTGGGAACTCAACTGTACGTTAAAAAAACATTGGGTTGATGGAGAGACCTGGAGACTGACTCTGTCCATGTGCATCAGCCGCAGGGGCAGCACAGACAGTGGCAGTGGCAGTGGCAGTGGCAGCTCAACCAGCAGGGATCGATAAGCCTGGCAGAGATGCATCTCCAAGACCCTTCCCTGTATGGGGAATGAGGTGGAGCCACGTACCTTCTCAGCATGCTTCTGATATCCTAAAGGGAGAGACAAAGATGGAAGAGTGAGCTCAGTGCTGCATGGCACACCTGCGTGGCACACCTCCTCCGACGCACTTGTCCTCAGACTCCAAGTGCCACACACAGAAGGATCTGGGGAAAGTTCAGCCCCTTTAAAAGCTCCAATTTCTAGCTGCACTGAGACCCCCGCCCGCCCCAGCTTTGCTCAGGATCCTAGACCTCAGCACGTCCCCAGCAGCAGGGTGGCTGTGTGCTATGGGATGCTGTGCAAGGAGAGAGGTGTAAGCAGTCTCGTGGTGTGTGGGATCGCCGAGTACCTGAGCCCATAGGGGCTTAGATCTGCCACTGGGGCTGCGCCAAAGGGGCCCAAACCAGCCAGTCAGAGTCATGTGTCTAATCCCAGGTGCTGTCTGTGCTCGTGGTCCAGGTCAGGCTGAAGGGCAGTAGCCAGGGAGCCCCGATGCACAACAGGGTAGGCAAGGGCAAGGTGCTGGGCTCAGGGGCTGGGGCAAAGCTGAGGCCTGTAGGGACACTGAGCACGTGGGAATATCCCCAAAGGAAAGCACTTGAGTCTGTGTCTCCGTGACAGTGGCTGAGCCCGAGGACCGAGAGCAGGGCTGGGCCGTGGGGGTAGAAAGCTGCAGAGAAAGGGAGGGAAACCTGGCCTGGGCAGAGCTGGAGGAAAGGGCTCCCTGTGGGGAGCAGAGAGCAGTGTAGGGGAGCTGGAGCCTGGCGCGGCTGTGCCGGCTGAGGGAGCTCCCCGAGCGGAGCAGGGAAGCAACACAGGAGACTGGGCACTGCCAGCAGGCCTGGGTGGGCCCAGCTGGGAGCAGGCAGCAGAGCTGAGGAGAAGTCTGGGGTTGGGGGGAGCTTCGAGGAAAGCTCCCCAGCTGCACCTGAGTGCGTTTGTGCCTAGCACTGCCTCTGGATGCCGCAGGGGGACAGAGCAGGGTGGGAGCCCTCTCCGGGCTCCTCCCACCACGAGCAAATCTGCTCTGAAATCTGTGCACGTGTAGATGCCTGCCCAGGGTGGGTCTACTAGTAAACCCATCTAGCAGCAATTGCATGTGTAAATGCACCCAGTGAAATTTCCCTCCAAACAGCCTCCCTGTAGCTGTGGGACATAAACATCTACCTGGCCGACCCCTGTCCTCAGTCTGACCTATCTGTGCTTTTAACTTAGCTTAAAGGGAGCCCAACCATCCCCGAGCATCAACACACCCTGAAACATCCCCCTCCCCTAACACAGCGTTGAGAAGGTTTTTGAGAGAGGGCTGCCAGTACATCGGGGCGTAGGCTTCATTCTGCCTTGCGCATTTCCTGTAGCCGGAGAACATAGAGCTCAGGTCTGGGAAGGGTTTGGGGGCTCCTCAAGCAGGGCTTTGGCTTTGAGTTGGGAGGGGGGCTCCCTCCTGGAGCTGGGTTTGGGGCTTCTGTAAGAAGCTGAAGTGCTGGTGTTCAGGAGCGGGAAGGATTCGGCTGTTTGAGTGTTGGGAGCAGCCAGGTCTCCCCAAGCCAAGGGAAGGTAAGAGGTCTAGATTGGCCAGGTGGTTTCTTATGTCCCATACTGCTGGGAAGGTTTTGGCCAAACCTGCTGCCAGAGGGTAGGCCCAGGGCAAGGGTCAAGGGGTGGTTTCAAGATCCCTCAAGCTTGGCTTTGGGATAGGAGATTTGTCTGCTTTGGGGCTGGTTTTGGGGCTTCTGCAGGAAGCTGAAGTGCTAGTGTTCAGCAGCAGAAAGAATCAGGTCATTTGTATTGTGGGAACAGGCAGGCCTATTTGTTGCAGAGGGACCTGGGCCAGTGCCCACAAGGGAACACTATAAGCCTCCCTTAGAAAAGGAGACCACTACATAGGCAATAACAGAATGCTTGGGGCAATAAAAAAAAACAGGGATGGGAGCAAGGCTCAGAGGTTTCAAACTAGTGTGCTAGGGGGTGACACCGAGCAGAGCACACTGGACAGTGCCCTGGTCCTCAAACGATTCCAGGGATCCAGTGGACACTGCTCAGTGATACTCTGCCCACAGACAGGATCTTACAAGTGAAAGGACAGTGGCCCCACAGTCCCCTGGGACCCCCCTGGCCAGAGCCTCCTTCCTGGGAAGATACACCACCACCTTGGCCAGGGCCAGGAGGAGGTTGACCAGGAAGTCCCAGGACTTGGACAGGGAGTGCCTAAATGAACAGGCAAGGGGGATAGTGCAGCCAGCACCTGAAAAAAGAGGTTCTGGAGGAGGTGGTGCAGGGGCTGCAGCCTGGCACACTCCAGGTGCACGTGTGCCAGGGTCTCTGTCTGCTCTCAAAAGAGGCATGTATTGGGGGTGTCTATAAACCAGGCTAGATACACACCCATTGCAACAGCTGCATGGAGTAGCTGCCAGCTGAGGTCCCTGGTGGTTCACAGGATCAAGGTGGAATACAGACTTGTCCACTAGGGACCCTCACCCTTGACTTGTTGTGAGGGTGGGATACAAGGATGGGATGATGGACAGTGTAGAGCAGGAGTATGTAGAGCTGGTGTGGGCAGATTGACAGTGGACTGGTTTGGTGTCCACCAGCCTGCTTAGATGGTGGGGTGAGGAGTGCTGTGGGGCCTGCTGAGGGAGGGGTCCCATAACAAGCTCCAGAGGGCTGGGGGATACTGGGGGGTGGGGACTGCCCTTGCACAGGATCTGGTCTTAGTTGCTGAGGGCAGTGTCTGGCAAGGCAACTTGGACCTCCAGGAGTAGGTGGCAGGGTGCACAGAGCGTGAGCAGCTCCATGCACTGGGCCAGCACAATGGGATCTACCCACCCCTGCTTGACATAGCCCAGGAGGTCCCTGATACAGGTGATGTGGGCCAGGACCATCCTCCAGCGCACCCAGGGCACCTCCACTGCCAGCACCACCAGCTGCGGTGGGAACAGGCAGGTCCCTAGGCCAAGTGGAGATGAGATGTGGCCAAGCCTCTTATTGTCCCACTGGATGGTTATGTTCAACAGTGTTGGGAAGGTTTCTGGTGTGGTGTTGCCAGGGTGTCATTAAAGGCTGTTAAATATGTTAAATATTAAAGGCTGTTAAATATGTAAAGAACCAGAGGAAGAGGTACAAAAGTTCTAATATAATTGTAGCAGCATTAAAAATGGACCCACCTGAAGGAATAGGAAGGGCTGCCCTGCAGAGGAACAGAGTGTGAAGAGACAGAGTTTGTCTCAGCAGGGACAGCATTTGCCCCGATGGCGAGTGAAGCTGCTTTGGAGGTAGCCCTCTGGGGAGTGGGAGGGGTGATGTAACCCCAGCAGGGTTTATATGAGAGACCTGGGAAGAGTCCTGGCCTGGGATTAGCTGAAAGCATGGGTGTCTGGTGCGTCTTGAGTTGGGGGGGGGCATGTGCCCCCCCTGACACCAGTCAGCGACCAGGGGGAGGTCCCCTGGTGGCCAATCCCACTGGCCGGGGGGGAGTACGGGGGCCCTGAGGCTGATCTCACTCACTGTAAAAGCAGCCGCGCCACTTCTGGAACTCCTGCGGCCACTTCTGGAAGCAGCTTGGCCACTTTTGCAAGCCTGCAAGCCCCTGTGTGGCTGGGTGAGCACAGCGGTGGAGGGAGGGATGCAGGACCAGGGGGAGAGGCTGGAGACTACCCTGGTGTTTCCCCGCCCATGAGTGAGAAGGCCCTGTGGGGGCAGGGAGGCAGGCTCAGGGGTGGTGATTGGCTGCAGGGGAGGATGCGGACAGGATGGGGGAAGCAGCCGCTGTTGCCACCACCACTTCCTCAGGTGGAGGGAAGTTCTGCAGAAGGAGGCAGAGGCAAACAGGGGAGAGGGAGGGAGCCCCATGCCCCCGCCCCTGGTTTGGGTCCAACCTCATTCCTCCCCTCCCCCTTGCTTCAGATCTGACCATGGTCCCCCCTTCCCCTGGTTCAGACCCAACTCCTCTCCCTGCAGTTGGAGGTCCAACCCCATTCCCCCCTCTTCGCTTCCCGCTTCAGGTGCAACCCTGCCCCCCTCATCCCCACTTCGGGTCTGACCCTGCTTCTCCCCCTCCC